ATATATATATATATATATATATATATATATATATATATATATATATATATATATATGCAATTACTTTTCAATTTTATGAATTTTTCATTGTTAATAAAATTTTGTAGTTCAGTCATTACCACATTAGACTGTTTATGCAACTCGACATTTGCTCAATTTTATTTCGATTGCAATTTGTGCGGTGAATTCACGTAACCCTGGAACTTGGCTGTTCGAATCAGATTTCTTTTTTCAGCGTGCGTGGCGTTCTAGAGTGTACTCTCGAGTAAGCTTATTAATTACGTTCATTTCTCTTTGAGCGCAGTTTAACCGGCCCCCGAGAGCGGTTAATGCTGCTGATCGCCGTGCTCGATGATCGTTTCGATGTTAGATGCTCGATAACGGTGGTACGCTAGATATCCGCGATGTCAATCCGCTCCAAAAAGGTCGTGGCTGAAAAGTGAAACGAGGAGAGCGAGTTAAATGCCTGACCGCTCGGACTGCGAGCGGGAGTGCGCGCGCGCGCGTATTGCGCACTTTTCGCGTAACCGTATACTACCATAACCGGGAATTGATTTGTCCGATACGCTACCTGCATTACCGCGTTTTCTATCTCGCGTATCTCGGTATAACCGCGCGGCGCATAGCGGCGGAGCGCGGTTTGCGTAACTCTTTAATGTCGGGCTCGAAAGTTGTCGAAGCTAAATCCCGGCCATCGATATATCGACTAACAATGGTCGCGCGATTGAATATAATAGCGTTCGTATACGATTTCGAAATGGCGTCTCGGTTCGGCTTGCATGTGTGCACGCCATACACTTTCATCGGAATGCGCACTTCAATTGAGCAGGCGGCATTATTAATCATCGATAATTTCAGAATCGTGATAACGGCGTGGTTCTTTTTCCGGTGGGGCGTTCAATGCGCTCTCTTTCTCTCTTTCTCTTCTGATTTTCTCGATACCATTCCCTTCCAGCGTGAAAATTATGCGCAATATTTATATCTGTTTCGACTTTGCTCGAGATTTAATTTTCTATAATTTATTCTGCTTGCAACTATGTTATATTAATCGGAAATGTCGCTGTGCGGTCGATATTTTACGAAGAATGCAAAAAATGGATTGGGTAATTCAGTAAATCTGTAATTCGTTAAACAAAATTAAATGTTACGACTAAATAGATTGCTTGTGCAACAATGGAGTTATGTGTGAAAACAATTTTCAGCCGGCTCATAAATCTATTTTTGTAGACGTTATCTTGGTTATTATGCAAACAAATCATTTCGCGTTTCGAACCAATTTAAGCTTGCAAAACAATTCGTTAATTTCATCAAAAAATATCACGCCGTTCTTGCTCAACAAATGATGAAAAAATATTTTCTTGCTATAGAGAAGTGATTCAATTTATAGTTGCAGTCGTTATTAGTACATGTATATCAATATTACACGGAAAAAAATTTTGCTTTTTTAGCAAAAAATCGTCGTTGCTATTTCATATTCGTAGACAGTAAAAAAATTTAGTTGACGTAACTAATTTTACAAATTATTTGTTATCAGTGCAAAAGCAGTTTCATTGCCAGGATAAAAAAAATTTGTTGCATTTGTCCGAAGAATCACGTTAATTTGCTATCGATGCAAAATAATGTATCCTTAGCAAATTAATTTGCTATCGGAGCAAAACTGCAACTGCTTATATAAATCCATCATGGTTCTTACAGCAAAATAATTTGTAAATTCAGCAAATTATATCCAGCAAGTAGTGATTAGTACTTTTAGCAAATATTTTTTTTCTGTCCATAATGAAAAGATAACGAAAAGATTTTGCTAGACCAGCAGAAAATTTGTTAGGCCAGCAAATTATTTTTCTCCGTGTACTAACAGTCGAATCACTCATGTTTGAGAGATTTTTCACTCGTATAGAGAGAACTCTTTTGAATAGTCAAGTGAATATTTTTAAACAGAAATTATAGAAAGCTCCTTTTTAGAATAACTAAACAGTAAGAATTGAAGAGGCAAATAAGGAGTACAGCACGGATGTCTTAGACATTAGGGACTCAAGGATCGGTCTAAGTATGAAAGGTAGATTCGCCGCGGACGTTAATCGAAGAAAAATTTTGATACGTGCGTTTGACATGCTGGACATAATTATCCTCCCACTATCATATGAATATTTTTACCTGTATGAAGTCAAAATCCATTTTAGGCTCGAATGATACATTAACTCTTAAGCCTGACAATATGCTCTTTGCGTTCTGTTTCTTATCTTCTTTTTTTAATTTAAAGCTTAAGATGTAAGTCAGAAAGAGATAAAGAGAAAGAAGCAGGAAGCAAAGAACACATTGTAGATCAAACTTTACGATTCTAAGTGGCGGTATTTTCCTGTTGTTTTAAACGGATTTTCTAATTGAGATTTTGCTCCACGAAATTCAGAGATTAACATAGAGAGAACTTGCTATGTTTGTATCACAGCTGTACATTTGCTCGATTAATGAGGCTTTCAATTTTAACACCAAATCTTTTTTTCCGTTTTAAGTTTAATGAAATATGAACAACTCTTCGGTACAAATTATACCTACATTTGTAATTGAGCACATCTTAGTGACGGCCGTATCGGCACACGCACATTCTTCTCGTTCTTAGTATTCCAAGGTGAAAAAAACTCTGACGCTTGAGCGGGCTCACGATCGTTACAACGGTTCACAAGGCAACTCGGGTCTCTCATTAGCGCGACGAGAAGAGCGTAGTCCCATCTATTCGCTTCTCCATTGAGATTACACGCGATTCTTATCTCCCGAACACATTTCACGCTAGGAATCGGTCGCGGCGTTAGCGCGCCGTCTAGGTTACGACTTTTCGTGAGTGTAAACTTCCACGGGGACAACAAGCGCGCCCGGTCGGGGAATGTGTCGGTCTCGTGGCTCGCGAGGACTCGCATTATGTGCTTCGTCGCCGCGGATAGGACGAGCGAGATCGGTCGGTTGGTCGAAAACGAGTCGCTAGGATTGCCCCTCGGACGATTAACGAGACGCTGACCTATGTGACAGGACGGCATCAGTCGCGCTGTCGCTCGCTCAGGTAGAGAAACCATCGTGCACCGAAGCGCGATTCCAAGGCGAGTCGCCGCTAAATCGCAGCAGGTGTCACTCCTCGACCGAATTGCGGTCGGTCTTTTCTCCGGCGAAAATTCGACCGGATGTTTCCTTTCTTCTTTCACGATCTCCCGGCGCGTTCGCGGCCGCTTATCCTCGTCGACGTCTTCGAAGCCGAGATCAAGCGATTAGAAACGAACAGAACTGCGCTGGAGATGTCGCACGCCGCAGCCTCAGCACTGTCGTACGAAGCTCGTACATTTTTCCTCGTTTTTTTTTCTTTTTTATTGATTGATCGAAAGAAAGGGATTTTAATGTTACGTCATCACATTTGCAGGCCGAGTGGCGGCAACAGCCGCGAGATATACTGTCCTCCTTACTCCAAGGACTTCACCGAGAACTCTCCTAAAAGCGGAGTTCACGATATGGTGCATATGATACCGGAAAGGGACACGGACAGCGTGGCACCGACTCCGACGCCGCAGCACCCGCGTCACTCCCAGCATCATCATCTCAGTTTACACGAGCTCCGTGCACTTCAGGTATGCAGAAAGGTATCTTCTGTGATGAGTGCGCGATCAAACATTCCGCGGATGTCTGATTCAGATTTTCGACTATATTATATCATTATCATTAACATTTTGTAATTGTGTGTGTGAGATAATTATTACACTCTTAACAATTCCATTGATTTTAGTTAAAAAAAATATTTTTGTTATATATTTTTAATATATTATAATTCGTTTTCGGATCTTTATTATTATCGTGTAAACGACTAAGAATCGTTATTTGCACTTGAATGGAAGCAATAGGACGATATAGCAATAGGTAGTATGAATACAATTTCGGCCCACAACGAAACGCTCGATCCGATCGCTCGCTTTTGCAGAGGCGGCCAGAATGCACCGGCAACAGCTCATCTGATGAGAATCGATCATCCGGACACGCGAGTATGTCAGACACCGGTGGCCACACCAGCAGCAGCTCGCCACCGCATCGTCACCACAGGTCCCACAGTCCTCAGCAGCTGAACGCCGTGCCCGAGGACGACCGACTCTCGGCGTCAGTTACCCAGAGAAACGGCAAAAGTCGATCCGGCCAGAGCCGCAACCGGCACCGAGCCACTCCTGCCAAGGTGCCTGCTTTTATACGATATTTTCCATCAGAGAATTAGATAAAGTCGTTTTTACAAATATCGGTTAAAGTCAACACTATTATCATTTATTTCATCATCTTAAACTCGCTTCTTTTATCAATCTTCTTGCTCGCTACAACTGGAAACCGTCCTCTGAATGCGAGACGACATTCATATTACATTCACATTAGTTACAGGATATCAATGCAGTATCGCGATATGAAAATAAGGGTTAATTAAATCTGCTAAATTATACGCTGCAAAAAAAAAATGAAAAATAAAAGTTTATTGGAGAAATATGCAATTTTAGAAGATAGCAATAGCGAATTAATGAAAAGGATATTTTTTTTTGATACGCTGCATTTTTATATTACAATGTGGGCATAAAATTGTAGTACAACCGTACAATTCCTTGTGCAAAAATAAGTCGCAATTACAGAACGAATTTTTTCGTCAAAAGCTTTGTTTTCATGAAAATCAAATTTGAAAATCACGTTAAGTACATCTGCGCTTAACGAAAATATGGCTTGTGGAAAATATTGTAAACGTATTATCATGTTTACATAACGTCTAAAAGATTTCATGAGAAAGTGAATTAGAAGAAAAATATGACAAGTAATTGAAAAATTGCTGGAAATGTTGTATCTGTTGCTGTTGGTAAAGCAACGTCCGTAGAGTGACAGATGCGTCGATACTGCTTACTGTCTCTTGACTTTTTATTTCTTAAAACGCTTCAATAATTTTTCGTCTCTGAATACTTTCAATTCACAAGGAATCCTCCCTTGCCCGGTTATACTACGATTTTGACATCAATTTGTATATGTAGATTCCGCATGACTGCGTATATGCAGTTTCTCAGTCCACAAATGGGACTCTCTTTTGAGTATACACACTGCTTCCGCAGCGAAAGGATTAAAACGTATCAATGCCTTTACACCAAAATTATATTGCGATTGTAGCTACAAGTACCATGGTCGGGTTCCGGTCTGGAGGACATAAAACTGGCGATTCAGCAGCTGACGATGCGCTCCCACAAATCCTCGTCCACGTATTCCTCGCTGAGCGGCTCGGAAAGCTCGGAGCCGGCGGTGAGGAGGCTGATGCGACACTCTAGCTTGGAGACGATCAACACCAATGTGACCAGCGCTGACGAGTTCGTCTGGGTGGACTCGCACAATCGTCTGGTCGAGCTGCAGCAGCTACCCTGGACTCATCACGACGTGCTGCGTGTGCTGCAGAACGGTCGCACGCGGGAGCACATGGAGCAAGTCTCGATGGAGACGATTCCGCGGCTCTCTTATTTGCTACAACGCGCGCTAGTCAGGATCGGTCGCGAGACGCAGAGACTGGCGAAGCCCGTGGGTCTCTGCAGCAAGCACGAGGTGTACAGCGCCTTCAAAATCGTACTCTGCCCGGCGCTGGCGGATTCTTGCACCAAGGTATCACATTACCGCTTGCAATCGGCTGTAGTTATGCGTATGTGTAACGGTAAAGTTGATTCCCGAAGTCTTCTCCCGTAGAATACACATTTCACTTCGGCATATTTCTATTTGAGAAATGCTTCGTTCGTGTCAACATACATCGAATGTTTATGAGTAAAGATTTTTTAAACAACCTATATTTTCGAAACTTTCGAGTTATATATAACAGAATTACTTATTTTTCTTAGATATCGTGTTATTTTATACATTATTTAATCAACTAACTGACTGGTACTTCAAGTACACGGAGTGTACTATATTACAGTTTTTTTCATATGAGACTCTTCGGTTTTATTATGTTTTCTAATAATGCAGGAATAAACTGCCAGTAGAGTTTATTTTACATAAAGAACCCAATAAATATTTTTAATAATAGACTTCAGTTGCAGACGACAGGATAAATTAAGGCAAAATGTCGATATGTTCTTCGTCTGCGAAATAGTAAATTTCAGTATAAGATTTTCTTTGCATGTAAAAATTTGTCATCTTCCACCGACCTGTAATAACAAATCCATAAAACAATCATTATGTAAATTATGTATTGAGTGGCCGTCAAAACGAGTCAAAATTCATTTCTCCCATTTCTATTTGAGTATCATTGAATTAATTCGAGATCTGATCATGTATTCTAAAAATATTTACACATATATATATATATATATGCGCGCGTCGAGCGATGAATATTCAGTCGATTCGGCGTTCCTATTTAGCGGCGCACTTAACGCTTAAACCGTGGCCATCTGATATCCGACTTGTTTAAAGGCTTGCCTGCGAGCTGCCGCAATGTTTGCTGTATCTGGCGATCAGCTGAAACAATCGAAGGCATCCCGTTCGGGGCTGCAATTGCCGGTGGGACGTTTCTTACGTTGGATGTCCGACGTGAGACTTGGGAGAATGATACACGAGTACGCGGCGATATATCTGACGGCCGGGATCGAGAATCTCCTGGAAGAAATACTGCTACAATGTGTGCCGACCGAGCCGCACACGACCCTCACGGCGACGATGCTGGAGCACGCTATAGCCAACAGCGGCGACTTATGGGGCTTGTTGCAGCCGTATGCGCATCTCAACGCCGGTCGAACCGCATCAGGTCCATATAATCTTGAATCCCCTTACACCAATGAAAAATGATACACAGTGCATGTGTACCTCGTCGCCCATCGTCGGTTATCTCCTCTCAATTTACACGTTCTGATGAACTTATTCAATTTCGATTACGTTTATATGACATTTGATGCTTGATTTTATTTTGACTTGGCAAATTTCTGTTCTTCTTTTCTTTTTAATTAAATATTTCTTAATTTAATATATTCAACATACGTTAAATGATGGATTCGAGATTTTCGGTGACTTTTGAAATACTCTACATAACATTTAGGCATGAACACATGATTTTCTGAGATATTTTATAATGTTACATTTTTAACTCTCTAAGTACTATATGTGTGCTCCGAGTTTATTATGTTACTATTTATGTTTTCAAAGGCTTCTATTTTTACGTTGACTTTCTTAATTTGCTAATAACAGTTTCAGTTGTAGGTTTTATTATACCTTCAGTTTAAAATATTAATTTATTTCTGACAGATGAAAGTAGAGCTATATAGATGAAACGTTCTTTGTTCTTTTTATTATTTTCAACCACACAGGACGTTTTTTTTTGTTGCGCTCTTAAAGTACTTTGTATTTAAAAAGTTAATAGCAGACATATCAAACGGCCTGAAGTTCAGTGTGGAACGTCCCATTTGACATCAATTTAATTGATCACGAACAGTTTCTAATCGGGATAACTAAGATTTGATGATTGCTTGAAGAAAATAGTTTATCCTGTCACATACAAAAGAAATTAAAAATTCATTTTTCGAATGAATCTACATATTATTTTAAAAAATTACTTAAAAAGCACACACAGTACTTTTAGAGTATCAGTGTTGGAATATTCATGAGCTCTGATTAATAGCGTGATATTGTTTACATCGATCATGTTACATCAAGATCTCTTATCGTATCTAGGCGCTTTGGCAATGCCTCGATGGGCGAGCGTGAGCTCTCTAAACTCGTCGTCGTCGTCGCGCAGCGGGCGAGATGCGGCGAGCTCGGCTTTGGAACCATCACTACTTACGACGTGCGTGGGGTCTATGTCAGAGTTGATAGATTTGATTTCCAAAGTAGCACACGCAGGACGTTGTCCCATCCCTCTGACAACGAGAGCATTACACGCTCTGTTTTACTACATGAGGTGTTCACAGGTACGGAATTTGTCTTGACATTCGATACGTCTTCTCGGGAAACACGCAACATCGATCTTGCGATGAATTTGATCAATCACTACTACTACTATATTTTTCGAATCTTTTCGTAGACACGTTTTTTAGCTTTTTCTTCTTTTTCTTCTCTTTATTTCATATAAAAGCTATAATAATAAATTCATAGAAAATTACAAATTCATATAAAAGTTATTACATCTGTTATTATATCGACTTTTACTATTATCTTTATTGAATCTGTTAATAGTTTTAATTTAGTTATTATTTTATTATATCAATCTTTACATGTTACAACATTTTAATTTAAATGCATGTATTGTTTAAGTTGGAACACGGTGAACGCGGCTCTGGAATACAGGAATTGGCGTACGAGCGAGCTTACGTGGTGCTGCCACCGTTAGTGGAATGGCTACGAGTAGCCGCGGCGCACGCGGAGCACAGACACGGTCTCGTCGTGGATCAAGATGATATTAATCAAGCTGCCAGATTACTTTTACCCGGTGTAGACTGCCCTGTTCGTCCAATAAGGTGAGACCGTACGGAAGAAAAGATTTTCTCGCTACAACTAAAACTTCACTAGCTCAGCAAACTATAGGTTTGCTAAATAAACCAATCCTTCTTTTTCGTGCTCTTCAAAAGCATGCAAATTACATTAATGAAAAATATCATTGTGTGTATGTGTGTGTATTGCATTTATTTCAATTGTTCTTGATCTTGAAATGTCTTAAAGCCCGTTTTGGACTTGTATTGAACTAATATTAGAAATTGAAGATTGGAACTTGTCCATTTAGCATAAAGCCAAGATTGAAATTAGTTACTTCGTTGAATTTTAATCTTCAATATCTAATCCGATACGAGCTTAAAGCCACTTACGACTGCTGTTAAAATTCACGCAACTGTCCGTAGCTCCGAAGAGGTCGCAGTGTGCTCAAAACGCATCGATGACGCCGAATACGTTCGCTTGCTGACGATAGATATGGCCTTCAAGATGTTGACTAGTGGACGAGCAGATCTTATCGCCCAGGCGATGCCATTGCTGCCTTCGACGAAGATCAACACGGTAAACGACGTAGGTTTCACAGCTCTGATGTTGGCGTGCATCAACGGCGATGAGTCGGCCGTGACGGCTCTCTTAGACGCCGGGGCGGACTTAAACGTCGAAAGTCCGTCGCCCACGACGAATGCTCAGTCGTCCAGTACACCTTCAAAGATTCCTCTGGTATCTAATGTGCCAAATGTCAGAAGCCCGATCAATCAGTCGGCAATGATGACGCCTAGCAAAGCAGCGCCGAGCGCGAATCTACCGTCCGGCAGTCCTGGCGGTTCCGTCGGAGCTGTTCCAGGCGGCGGTATGTGCTACGCGCAAACTGGCTTCAACGCAGAAACGCAACACTGGACCGCGCTGACCTACGCGGCTCTGTTGGGACACTGCAACATTGCTAGAATATTGCTGGAACGAGGTGCCGCAGTAGAAGGCGGCGCGAAGCTCAGCGAGGACAAATGTACGGTAACGCCGCTGCAAGCGGCCACTGCATCGGGGAACAATGAGATGGTCGCCTTACTGTTGGCACACGGCGCCCAGCCGTTTCTCTCCACTCTCATCAAGGACTCGTTTTCCTACTCCGGTTCCGCGCAACGCGGTTGTTACAGGTAATTACAATCAATACGATCGTGTGTTGACACTTTTACGAAACTTTAAAGATTGCGAAGAAATACAATGTTTAATTAACGGTGAATACCAGTTAGTTTTATCATTGTATTGATTTATCAAATATCTTATATAATTGATAAATTTATTTTATTTACTCGTTTTAATTTCTAGCGCAATCTCAGTAGCAACAGCACATGGCCAGAGAAGCTGCCTTCATCAACTGCTATCACATCCGCTCAATTTCTCAGCCAAACGAGGAGAAAAAGAGATATTGTCTTTGGAGGAGATACTAGCGGAAGGTAACGCCGGTGCTAATTCTCAGCAGCAGACCGCAGAAGGAAGAGGAGCTCGTAGAGAAGGCAAGGAACCGGTATTTAATAAGGTGCAAACGAAGGCGTTGCAAGAAGCAATGTATCATAGTGCGGAAAGTAATCATTTAGGTAAGAAGACAATTCTCATATAAATACCATTGCGTCTTGTTCGCGATACCATCTCGTTGTACGGAGAAATAAGAGAACTCAAATTAAAAAAAAAAATCTGTAGAACGTTTAATAAAGAACTCAAAAACAAAGAATTTCAACTAATTGAAATTCCTTGATTCGTTTGTAATTTCGTACGTCTCTAGATTATCTTAGGAATAATTTGTTTTATTGCTTGTACTTACGTGAATTATATTTGGTTTCATAGATATCACGATGGAACTTCGTGGCCTGAAAATAGGTTGGACACTGCATTGTTGGATGCACAGTCTTGCGACAGCTCACGAAATGCGACTAGATTCGGTTATAGATCAGCTACTTCAAGATTTTCTCCAAGTCTGTCCGGATGATTATTCTACGCAATTCGTGCAGGAATGTCTGCCGCTTTTATTCAACATTTTTAGATATAATAAGGTAAGTTACGTGATATTGCAAAGACGATTATTAATCAATTGAAATATTAATTGCATGATATAAGGTTTCAAAGTAACGCGTCACTTAACTTTTAATATTATTACGAGTTACTTTTCTTCAGTAACGGCTTAATAACGACGTTATTTTTCCAAGTTCCAAAGTAACGAATTACTTTTAAGAAATAACTTTGTCAAGTCTGATATATAATATATAAAACATCATAGTTTATTCGTTAATGCAATACAATATGTCGTTTGTATAATTTTTTTCACAGAAGGAAGGTACCACACTCTTGCTGGCTGATATTTTTTGCACGTGTTTCGGTTGGGAGCCCATCAAATCGATCAGAGACACTACACTATCGAGCGGATCAAGAATCGATCCGAAATTCGTGAATAATCCCGAATTGAGCGACGTGCAGTTTAGAGTGGAGGGTCGCGTTTTCTATGGTCATAAGATTGTGCTGGTTACATCCTCCCCAAGATTTAGAAATATGTTAAGTTCCAAATTATGCGAAGGAAATCCTCCCATTGTGCAGATTAACGACATAAGATATCATATATTTCAGGTATATAATCCGATGGCACGTTATTATTATATAGTATATAGTATATATCATTATATAACACATAGCATACAGATTTTTGTCGATAATATATCGAAGACAAATTGAGCCGATCGTCCTCAGAGAAGTATTTGAATTTTAGATGGTCATGGAATTTCTTTACCACGGTGGTTGCGCCACTTTGGAAGTTAATCAAAGTGACGTCTTAGAATTAATGGCAGCGGCCAATTTCTTCCAACTCGACGGTTTGCTCAGATACTGTGAGGCGCAATGTTCCACAATGGTGGATCTCGATAATATTGTTTCCATGTATATTCACGCAAAGGTATATTTTAATAGTTTGGTATCCTCATAAAATCTCATCATTGCCTTCGCGGTGACCATTGTTCGACAGATCGTATAAATTATCATCTTTTTTTTTAATTGCAGGTATACAACGCCGCGCAGCTCTTAGAGTACTGTCAAGGATTTTTATTACAAAACATGGTGGCCCTTCTCACGTATGACGATTCAGTTAAGCGCTTACTGTTCGCAAAGAAGTTACCTAATCACGATGTTCTGGCGGGTCTACTGCTCACTCTACAATCACGAATAAAAGCCAGACGATCTCAGCAACAAAACAAGATCAAAGCATAGACTCGCTACACGTAGACTTCTACATCATACAGTATGTTTATTCTAAGACTTTGCGCGCGCGTATAAATCTATCGTTGTATCATGATAATTTTAATCAATGTAACAATTCTGAGTTGTTAGGAAAACAAATTTATATTTGTACATTGTATATGTTTAAGGTACGAACATTTTATAAAGTATACACGTGCTATATCTCTAAGCGATAAGGAACAAAAATTATTAGGCTCACGAGAATCACTGCCCTTTACAAAGTAATTTCTGTAAATAAGAGCGCACGTATTGTTAGTATAAATCTAAAAAATGTTCTACAAACATTAATTTTTCACATACATTCGTCGTAGATATCTTTTTTCGCTATTAAATCAACATTCTAGCTGTGTTTCAAAATTATTGGCAGTTCTGAAAATCTATAATATATATAATATGAATATTATATAGATATTATATAATATATACTATAGATTTTCAACACTGATAATAAATATTGAAATGCAACCTCTGAAATAAGTCTAGAAACACACATTCATATGTATATATTCCACTACAAAGATAAGTTTTATACGCTATGTACAAGCTTTGTAACAAAAGTTTCGTTATTGCATATAAAAATAATAAAATGTTTAAACTGCAACGTTTACATGAAATTGTTAACAGTACATGAATCGTTTATTATGTTGAGACAGATCTAGAGTTCTAAAACATTTTAGATTTTAATAACATCTAACGTATATCGCTATTAGCAATTATGGTTCTTACCAGTTTTAAAATAAATGATTTGTAGCGCGAAAATTGTACTATAAAAGGCGTTCTCGACACTATTTTTCTACTAGCATATATAGCATCGAGATTCGATAAAAATAGGTATCCCTAATCTTGTATCGTATATTCTTTTTTTATACTTTTTGACGTAATTTTATATTAATCATATGATACGTATGGGGTATAAAAAAATTTTATTTGGAAAGAACAGAACATAATTTTTAATGTCTAATATTAATTTAGCACATATAAATCAACAACAGATACATAATAAAGCTATTATCATTGACATCAAGTGCAGGTATTGATATCAATGCCATCGTATTATTTATTTAAGTGATGTTAATGATTAGTTGTATATACAATATTCAGGTTATAACCTTAATTATATGTTGGATTTTTAGCATCCGGAATGCCTAAAATAATCATGTAAGAATCGAATAGTTGTAAGAAAATGGCTGTCTCAATCGAGTAAATTTGTCCTCCATCTCATACCTACTAATATATAATCTTAAATAAGCGTCGTCTCTTTAATTATGAAGTTTATTCATAATTATGAAGAAGCATTGTGATTAATTAAACTCGCGATAATATCCCAAATCTTAAAGAAAAGATCCAGACATTAAGACAATTGTTATTTCATACTGATGCAACATATATGACAGCTGTCTCGTGTAATTTATTGAAATACATAAAAAATATAGTACGAAAATGAATACTATTTGCATAGAAAAATTCCCGTACTATATTCACAGCGCTTTAATTTATCTGAAAAGTTTTTGTGAAGATATTATTCACAATACATACACGAACGCAGTAAATACATATTTAATACATTAATTTATAACGAGTTTACACGATAAATCGATAGTCGAAATGTTTCTTAAACATGATAATGATTTATGATCACCGTAGATTAGCGTTTATAGTGTTATTGTTTATAGCGTATGATAAGCATCAACATGATCTAAGCCATTATCTGCAAGGAATCAATTAGTGCCTGAATTGCTGGTAATTTTCAATAAAATTGGGATTACATTTATTACATAAATAAGATATACAGCAATAAAGATATCAGTTTTAATGCGTATAAAGAAATATACAATAGACATAAAATTACAATTTGGGAAATGCATAACAATACGATTTTTATGCATTATCTATATAAATTCATCATAATATTTGCCACACTAGATACACGTTCAATGAATTATATGGCCAATGGTTATTGGCATCTATAGTGGCAGCAATAAGTTTGTAACATTTAAATTGCGCAGTTTCTTGATCATACTTTCTTGATCATACTTTTCTCTCTGTTTATAAATCTGTTGGTAGATTCTTCTTCTCTTTTATAAAGTTATTTTTTCACATGATATTAGGCATGAGTAAATAGATTTTGACTAAAAATACGCATCATATACAGCCGAATTAATATGTAATGCTAGTGAAATATATAATTGCAAAGTATTAAAACAATATTAATGAAAGTCTTTGTCGGTTTTTAGTTGACAGAAACATCACTATTATGATATAATAGTGATACAAAACAATAATATGTTTAAAGCATTTGATATTTATGATATAGTAAAGTTTCTTCTCATGCAAACCATCAATATAGTATTTATGAAAAAATGGGGTTGGAATTAATGTTTTCAGAATATAAAATTATTTGAAAGAAGTATCACGATATTATGAGACACATATAAGTATAATTTGGCAAGAATGTTACTAAGCCAGTGCTAACGCTCCCATATTTTCCTCAGCAATTGTAATAATCAGCTAGAGTGCAAAAAATATAGAATAAAAAAGCCTATAAAAATTCATATTTTACGTATGAAATTATTAAATACTGTTTTTATAAAATCTGAAAATGGCTAACATCTCCGCGCGCGGAAGATAGTAATACATTCGTAAGCAGATTATAAAATAAGTCTATATACTCTCCTCGTATTATAGATTTCCAATATACTGAGAGAAATGGGCGAAACAATATTATATTGGAGGAGGTTGTTTATCTTTAAACAATTCGTGAAGCAGATTGAGACAACCTTTTTCGTTTAACTTCTCGCAAGAATCACGAAGGCTAGGGGCGCTAACTTAATTTAGTGACTAGAATAACAATTAATACAATGACAACTATAATCGCGAGTAACATCAAGATATAGACTTTTCGACGAAATTTACTTTGGTAATTACTTCCCTTCACCAGTTCCTGCGCTCCCAGTTCAACGTTGCCATGCACATTTTCTATATGGTTGTCGATTGTATCTACAAGAGAATCATTAACTTCAATAAACTGCATTTTGTAATGAGGCAAATATTAACGAAATCGATATTGCTTTATAACTTTTAACCTCTTTATATCTGAGAAACATTTACCAAATAATACATCAATATCACACAAGGCAATTATTTATGCAGAAAGCGTTTTTCAATTGTATAATACTAGTTAGGAAATTATTTAAATTTCGTGCAAAAAGTATTGAGCTAAAGTTGCATTAAAAAGAAAGATACTTACCAATAGTATCACCCTGCTGATGCACCAATGCTGCAAGCTCGCGCATAATTTGATTTACATCCAAAATATCTCCCTCAATTCGCTTTATTCTCTCTTCTCTCTCTAACAGTAGTCCTTGTTGAAATTCAAGCGTTCTATGCATGCCACAAAACATATTGTTCTCATACTGTTTCTAATATTAAACTATTATACCATCACTTTGCACCAAAATTTATCGAAACAGATTTATCGTCCATAAGTGCATTTAATGCACTTCCACTTGATTTATCATCCAAAAGTGCAATAATATATATTTAATTTTTTTTTATTGAGAATTATTTAATCTTTTTATTTGACTTTAAATTTAGTCTACTTTGGTGTATTATGAAATCTAAACCTTTATATATTTTTATAAAAAAAATTTTTTACTTTATTAGCTAGTATAACATGATGACTCTTACATTTACATCATTATTCAATACATAACCAATAGAAACCATCTCTATTGTCCGAATTAATCAGTAAAATTTCATGTATTCCTCTGAGTATAAAATAGTATTGTTTCACACCAAATACAATAAGAAATATATTCTTTCCAAACCTTTGTGTGGATCTATGCTGCTGTTCCTGTGCTAAAAGCAGGCTTTGTGTCTCATCGGCATCGTCTCCATCCATTGTATTTTCTATATTAGATATAGTTAAAATATGTCTCTTCATTTTCTCCACAATTGACTGTAAGAAATATCTCACCGTTAATGTAAGATATAATATAAATATACATTAAACATGTCATTTTCATATCAAGATTGTGTATCATGTTTACTGTACTAGATATACCTTCTGCATATAGGAATATCTCTGTAATGCATCTTTAAAGTCTGTAGTAAGTTTCTCAATTTGTAATTTTTGTTGCTTGTCCCCACGTCTCATCAATACTGTTAGTCTAGCTATGTCTTTGCTTGTCTGCGTGACCACCTGATTGGTACTCAACTGGGTTACATGTCTAAAATACACAAATACACATACATCAGTCAAACAACATTCAAATATCCTTCTACTATTTTGAATTTATACATTCCTATCCTACAATATTATACTTCTGACGGTGCTTACACTTTGTCTCTTAAGCCTTGACTATCCTTGTTGGTTCCAATGTTTTTATAAGCCTTTTCCAGGGTTCTCCAACTTGTGTTAATCGTATATATGTTAGTGGTAATATTTTCACTGAGACTATAGAGTTCAGTAGGACTAAATCCTATATCAGGTACATCTGCTCGATGATCCGTAGATCCATAGGTTTGAGAGCTATGAGCCATCCTAAAGAAAAAAAACACAAATAACAAATCTAACATACTTTGATGAGACTCTCTCTTGAAAAAATAATTCCAATTCTAAAGTCCACAATATGCTGTCTGACCGTAATCGAACAATATTACACATAAGTGCACGATATATATTTTCAGTGTAGTACATATATAGTGCAAATAATTCCTATTAAAAATGCAAAATCGTAAAATATCCACCTCCCCTCTAATATGCTCCAAGTATCAGATATCGTGTGTACTTCATAGTGGCATTTATATCAATGTAGACATTATATAGCAATTATGTTAAACAAATGGGAACGATGAAAATTCGTCGTCGTCGTCGTCGTCGTCGTCGTTGTCGTCGTTGTCGTTGCGAGGTCATCGCGGTTCTCATAAGGTGACAAATACATGAACGCTCGCGTAGATCTCGCGTAAACAGCGCTGAATTCGTGAGCTACGCCCCACACAATGACACACGAGGAAATTAATACTGATCGCGTTGATTGTCTGTGCGAGACGAAACGGGATATTTAAGGGTTAAATTGACGAAGGCAGAGGATCGCGGGCCGGGACGCGCGACGACGACGTTACGACGGGGCGTCTCACCAACCTAAGTGCGTTTATCACAAATGTCCTTAATATCTAAATATAAATCGCCTCGTAAAATCACATTTAAAAACGCGAAGATATCTTGCTGCGCCGAGTCCAACGGAGACCGACTGACAGTTGCCCAAACGATCTAACGCACCGTCCGTGTGTGACAACAGACCCTTTGTACTCCCGTCCGTGTACACGGACAGAAATCTAATTTACCGACGTGTCGCTTTTTTTAGCGTTTTAACTATGCACGCCCGGAAACGGACGTGTCCGTGTGGAAATAATAACGAGAGACCCGGCGCAAATGGGCACGGGACAAATTTTCCGTGCTCTCCTTATGCCCACTCCTTATTCGCGCGTTATTCGCGCAACAGGATCGATTTAATTCGATTTCTGTCTATGGAAATTGCTAGCACCACCGGAGTCGAGTTGAGATCCGCGACTCATTTCCCGTCTCCGATGGCTATTGTCACGCGACAAAGGAAGGTTCCGCGATTTTTCGGATAATCCTCTCTGCCGCGAATACGAGCGCGACGATATTTTCCGTGGCGATATTCAGTCTGAAACACGGCCGAGTATCGAAGCCGAAGTGACTTTTTGCTAACTCACGCGGAAACGTCTAATGCACCGTCCAGTGTATCATCACTGACGGGCTCAAGATGAAAACTAAAAGCGAACACGATACGATGAGTTTTCGCCGTTTTCTCACGCGAAACAATTAACCGAATAATATTTGCGAGAAAAGAAAATTTTTTTTCGATCGGATGGCGCGACGGTCGGGGCGTCGGGTCGCAGTGCGGCGTGAAGTTAGTCGCGCGGCGGACGCTGGCTTGACGAGACGTGCCGCACGGAAGTTCCCGAGCACGACCGACAGATTGCGAAAGCCTTCAGAAACAACAACCGTCGGCCGTAAGTAAACGCTATTGTGATCTCTTCTGGCTTTGCGCCGCGAATTAACGGACGCGGAGTGACGTGGGTGACGCGTAACGCGCGCGGAACGATAGCTCGATCGTCCGGACGCATTGTGCCGTCGGAGAAACCGCGGTAGGCCGCGATCGCAGGGCACAGAGGCCGCGGAGAATATTCTCGAGAGTCCCTCGTTCGCTCGGAGAGAGCCCTCGCGCGAGCGGGCTACGTAGGTCGCGTGTGTCATGTCGTCGGCATGAGCCGCCGCCAGCGACGACAACGACAACGACGACGATGATGATGATGTGGTGACGACGACGAATTACTACTACTACTACTACTACTGCTACTACTACTACTATAACGACACATCGTGATCTGGCCTCCGCCCCGTGTTTCCGGGAATTTCCGTTTCCGGTGAATCCTCGAGGCGTTCGTTCTCGCGCACGTTACACGTCGTGGCTCTCGCCAGCGATTCCTCGGCTCGCGTGAGCCGACGAGCGGGCGAGCACGCCGCACACGCGACGTCTCGAAATTCTCGTCGTCACCCACGCAACTCGCACGTTTGACACTTTAAAGCTAAACGTGATCCGTCGTGTCTGCGGGGAGGGCTGTCGGGCGCGACAGGATTCTCGTGCGTGAAAGAAATTGCGAGCGAGTGTGTGTGTGTGTGTGTGTGTGTGTGTGTGTGTGAGAGAGAGAGAGAGAGAGAGAGAGAGAGAGATTGTGAACGAGCGAGTGAGAGAGAGAGAGTTCGTTGCACGGGAAATCGGGCGTTTCTTCGTCGCTCAGCCGCTTTGGGTTTTCCACGGCGAGCAGGGAGCACGAGGGGGCGACCTCCATCGCCCTCTTGCTTCCACGAATTCCGGAATTAGTACGTGCCTTGAACGCGCCACGTTTTGCGGCCGAGAGGCTCACGAGACGGCCGAGGCGCGCTCGTTGGCAACGTGCGCTTCATTCTCGAGTCGAGCCGAGTCCGCGTTGTCCGTGGCGCGATCTCCCGTTAGTCGATCTCTCGCGTGTGTCGCAACATGCAGCGAGCTTCACGCGTGATCACCGCCAGAGTCGTTATCATGGCCTCCTAGAAGTCGCGACGAGGACTCCGCTCGGGCCCGAACGATACGCGCGATCCTCGCCAGCCCTCCTGCGCTTTCCTCGTATGTACGTACGTCCGTCTGTCCGTCCGTTCATTCGTCGGCGCAGCTCGCGTCTTAACCCTAGAGTACGGGAATTTGCTGACTAATTTCGAGCGTCGCTACCTCAACAACACGTTCCGGGAAGTGCTTTAAACGTTTAAATCTCTCTCCCGAGATGTCTCGCGGTGACGTTTCGCGCTGAATTCGACCCCAGAACATGACGAAATTTTACGCAGAATTTCTACTGAATATCTATTTATGATATTATAATTCTATGATATGATGATCTATAATTCTATGATATATAATATATAATATGGGGTTATTTTCCGAGTTAATCACTCACGTTAACTTTTGCCTCACAGCGACGCTGTATTCTTTCCGAGTGTATTCTCTTGATACTCTAGGGTCAGGTAACGGGCGAAGAAATTATTCTTGCATGCTTCGTAGAGATATAGTTTCTCCGATTCTCATTGTTTGTATGTACAATGTTTATTTCCTAGTGCCAATAGCAATTGTGCTCGACTCGACGATCCGATAGTCGATGTCTTGTATCTTTATGACTTCTCGAATGGAATGTCAGATCTCGAAGCCGACCGCAAATTCGTGCGAGATCATTCTCATTTCATTTCGAGTTCTGGCGAGTTTTGGCTTTACTGTGGCTTTTGCACACAATTCGGCTGCAAAGTCGAGAGGTGACTTCGTCGGCGCAGAGTGGAATTTTCAGCGGTGCATTGTCGCGCGAAAACGATCTCGCATCATCTTTCCGCTTATCAGACGTAGGCTTCCGTTTCTCGTCCTCGTGTTGTCTCGCGGAGAGACGGCATATGCGCGAGGAAGGGGTTAAGGTTCGCGGAATATGGCGAGAGCTAGTCGAGCCGAGTAAGCACGGAATTTCGCCATTACGCGTCGTACGCGTGCTCCTCTCTTTCGGGGAAGCGAGAGGCTGCCGCGTGCTTTCCGGAAGCTTCGCTTTGTTCTCGGAGGTGCAACCGGGCACTCCCGTGTCGGACAACGCGACCAGTAGATGTACGCGTACTTCGTCGATCGATGCTGCACGAGACCCGAGCACATGCACACACGACCGACTTTGCAGGCGTGTGCCCCGCCGCCTTCGCCATCGTCGTCGTCACGCTCCTCTGACGTCTCGTCAGATGAGCTCCCGATGGGCGATCTCATCGCCACGCGCATTCGAATAGTCGGTTCCGCCGAGTACTCACGCCGAGAACAGACGTCTCATTTTTCTCGACCTTCTCACCTTCAGCTGTGCGTTACGTCAGTTGACATTAGCGGAAGAAAGAGATCACAGTTCGCGAGCAAAAGATCTGATTTATCGGCAAACGTCGATGACGAGGCGCGTATTTTGCTATAGCAGCTCGCGATCATCAATTGGCGAGGTGCGCGTGTGCTATTTTTAAGATCGATGCAAGTCTTCGTCCGTGGACCCGATCGCGATGCTCGCGGGAATTTCGTCTCGGAACTTCGCACGCGCCTCTCAATGAACTCTTTCATTCGTCGACAAGCTCACACATATTCAACATAAATTTCCGTCACGTTTAGCCTCCAAGTCAGATTCAGATTCCTTCAGTATTCGTGTTGAGGGGAGAGTCAATCTCTCGAGAAATCTTTAACTGCCAACGTCAGAGCTGTGTTATGTCTTGAATTTTACTTTAAAGCATTTTGTGAACAAATCTTCATAACCTTTCGTTTAAATTCAAACATTCTGAACGTGTTTTAAACATTGGATATTTTCTAACGCAACGTTCCTCTTAACATGTTTTAAACAGACGTTTGGAATGTTTTTTTTTTTTTTTTAAGAAACATTTAATGCAAATTTTGAATATAATCTTATCGACACAATTTGATTTATTATTTGATCTTGTTATTGAAAATTTTAAGAGTCGTATTAATTGTTGAAAATTTTAAGAGTTTTCTAAGTGCGACTATTAGTAGTCGTTACTTGAAACTTGCCTCAGATGAGATATTCAGATTTTAATTTAGAGTTACATATGAGTTTTCCAGTTGAATCGCCATTAGATATTTAATATCATATATGATTCAAATAAAAAACTTGTATATATAACTCTAAATTCAGGTCCGAGTATCTCACGTGGCATGAGTTTCAAGTAACGACTATTAATACGGATCTAGAAGCACTACAGAACATGTCTGGCCTTTCTCTCTTTTAATACGTCTATTCACAACCCAGCTTAGCACGGATGCTAATCTCGGGAAACGTCCGAGTGTACTATCGCGAACACTTGTGTCAATGTCCAACATAAGATTTTACCTAGAAAAAAAAGCGAGAGAAACGGTATCGATAATAATTTTATTCAAGCGTTTTTGAAGTCACTTGAAAGATCCCAGTCGGATTCGCATTTGTTTTTTGCGGCCAATCCACGAAATGCTGGCGCAACACCTGAACGAGTCGCGAAGAGAAAATGAGAAAAAAGGAAACAAAAAACCCGTTCCATCCCATTGAAACGTGCGTCGCGCTCGCGATTGTGTGTCGTAGTCGTCGTCATCGCCTACGGCGACGACGACGACGACGACGACGACGAGTAGTGTATTGCATGCTACGTACGTGCTCGCCTTTTAAAACGATCATGTTGCATATATACATGCGATATATACATATACACACATACACACAAACACATACACGAGATACCGTGGGGCTCGATCGGCCTCTTTGTTGTAGCAGACTTCAAAACGCTTATCGGACTATGAATAGACGCGCTGATTTTCTTTCAGCCGCACTCGTCCCACCAGCAAAGCTTATAGTCTATAGCCCTGCGTTTGCTTGCGTTACGCGCATCAATGGATAGATACGTCGTGTACGATTTCTAATTCTTGCGTCTCTCTTTCCATATCGGTTTTCCTGCTCGATGTTGTCCTCTCATCGATATTCGGAGCGCCGTTGCAGACCATCGAATTCTGCACATTCCAGATCTCGGATTAATCGGTTACGGTTTGCGGCTCATTCGGTTATCATTCGATTCCGTTGGAGTCTGTCGTACCGGGTGGTTGCGATGTACACATCATTGGCGGTCGCTTTGTGCGAGGCTGCGAAAAAAAGAGCGAGTTGAAGTAGTCAGTACCTCTCACTTATCTTTTCTACTATCGCTCATTGAGAAGACCGAACAAGTAATTAGCTACTTGACTTATATCTTCCCCGTTAGAGAGCTTCGGCGCCATCTCGAGCAGCGATTTATTCACTTATCTTTCTTTTTCAATTGTCTTCGTCGAGGAAGTTCAGCGAGGAGTTGTTGCATTCTAGCTTCCTCTGGCATATTTCGAGTTCGGGTGTGGTGAAATACCGCGTTCTCGTAATTATCTTTTTCTGAGAAATACCCAACGAATGACTCAGTGAATAATTCTTCTCTATTGGCGCTTAACTGCGTTATCTCCTCTGTAATACGATAAGTGTGTCTTGGTTTCCCAGTTACCTGATTCAGCTTTCAATCGTAACCTTCTGCGAGCTGAGACGCGAGACTTGTAATTTCGACGCGATTTTAATTTGTGATTCTGCCTGGTCAAGGGGAAGTCCAGATAGAGAGAGGGAGAAAAAGAGGTAACGCAAGTCGACATAGTAGGGCAATTAAATTAACATTACTTAACATGTAGGATAATTAAATTATTGGGATTTTCTATAATTGTACGTATTATTGGTTTAGTGTTGTTTAGGCTAAAAACAAGAAATTTGATTTCTGTCTCAAAATTTGTTAATTGATTTTTCAATATTTTAAATGATGACAAAATTTCATGACATTTCGATTTGTTTGTCGATTCAACGATATGTTAAAGCAGTAAATTCATCATTGTGATAATTTTACGATAATGAGACAAATATTTCTAAATAAAAGAAATCTATTCGTAGCGGGTAATATAATAATAATAATAATATTATTATTACCAATAATATTTACTTACACTAATATAAAATATATCTTTCGCATAAGAAGACACATATGTTCACACATATGAAAACAAAAGAATTTAGATAGATTTAAGTAAATATTCTGACTAAAAATTTATTCCATAGTCTTCTCTCTGATCAGTTTGATCCCAATCAGTTATCTGCTTTGTGTAAGGTGACGTTACAGAGTTCTGATAAGTCGTGAGCGCGGCGTAGCAATTAGGACTTCATAATAAGGTTTACTAATATTTAAGACTTTATTAGTAATTAAGATCCAAAAGCAATCATTTTACACAGACAAATGATTAGGACCGACCTGATCCTAATGACTATGGGACAAATTTCTGGTCGAAATGATGTTAACACCCGACTTGCGCAAGTATTCATTTTTTTAATATTTTTTTCTCTTGGTATACAATCAAGATATATTAATGATTCAATTATACTGCGTGTTAAAGCTATTATGTCGAGTCGGGGATTCGTCCAAAGTCTGAACTGTAAAGAGTAGACGGCGACGTATCAGTGACGTGTCATGAGGAAACAGAAAGTAATGCTCGTTGCGTTCGCTAGTGAAGAGGTCAGGAGAGGAAAGGGAGTAGATGGTGGAAGTTCGCTTGCTTGCTCGCTCACTTGTTCGTTCGTTCGTTCGCTCGCTCGCTCGCTTGCTCGTTCGCCTGCTTTACGTCACTCTGTCGCTATCTCTTTGTTCGACGTCGTCGCGCGCCTACATCTTGTGCACGACGATCTTCTCAAGGATTCTATCGGCGTCATATCGATGCTTGATACGCACAAAGCGCTCACGCGCGCGTTCGATACATACATCGTGCGATCCATTATATGCTGTTTCTTTCGATCTGTGTTTCTTCTTCTTCGAGAGGTCGACCACTCGGCGGAACGCACGAGGTCTACCCAAACGCATCTGCAAAAATAAAACCGACGGAGTAGTCATTCGCTCGCGAGCTCGCGATCTCGGTGGCGATCGATTCGCGCTCGTTTCGTGCCATTCGTTTTGTGCAGACCGCGATAAACGGATACTCGAGATTGGTATCAATTTTAAAACGCACGTTCGCGTTCAAGTTGGGAAAATTCGCAAATCGTAGCGCTGA